CGGAGAAAAAGCCCCTAAAGCAAATGTGTCTCAAAAAAAAAAAAAAAAAAAAAAAAAAAAGGAAACTGGTCACATAGGTAGAAAATGCCTTAGTCAAGATCCTAATTCAGGCTGGTTGACTTTAACAGTAATATAAGTAAGTTTTAAACACTGCTGAAAATACTACTGAGTAACAATTATCCCTAAGAGAATATGCTTCTTTAGCTAATTCAATTCCTGGTGACTGGCAATTTTATTCATTTTAAAGGACATATATGTTCAAATTTTTCTGTATATATTTAAAATGATTATGCTTTCTATTTATACAGGTTCCTGTTGTTTAATCATAAAAAAGATTATTGCATCTTTCAAATCACTGGGCTGCAGCTCATGCCCCTCTGGAGGACTTTAAAGGTGAAGTGAAGAGCATCCTTAAATGGCTGTGTATGCAGCATTTGCCTGTCTCTGCATCTTTTTGCATCTGTGTGTCCCTCTGTAACATAAGGATCTATTTGAATAGACTTTCAGCCAGAAAGCAACATTATTTCTGTACCTTCAGACTCAAACTTTCTACCAGGTACTCTCTTCATAGTCAACTGGAACTGCCTTAACTAAATACTAGACTAGGAGGATTAAACAATAGAAATTTATTTCTCTCAGTTCTGGATGCTAGGAAGTCTAAGATCAAAGTGTTGATAGAGTAAGTTTCATTCTGAGAGCTCTTCTCTTAACTTGAAGGTGGCTACCATCTTCCTGAGCACTCACATTATGTCAAGTTATTTCTGTGCTCCTGGAGTGAGAAGAGAAGGTCCTTGGTTTGTTCTTATAAGCACACTAATCCTATCAAAGATCATAACTTCATCTAAACCTACTTACCTTCTGAAAGTCCCATCTTCAAATACAGTCACATTAGGAGCTAGGGCTTCAACAGATAAATTGCATCATGGAGGGAGCATAATTCACTCCATTGCACAGTGATGCCCAAACTTCCTGGCACCAGGGACCAACCTTGTGGAAGACAATCTCTCCATGGTGATGGGAGAGGATTGGTTTGGGATGACTCAAGTACACCACATCCACCAAAAAAAACATTTCTGCCACTACCACATCGCAATATACAATGAAACAATCACACAATAGGATTCATTTTTCCATAAGAATCTAATACCACTGCTGATCCAACAGGAGGTGGAGCCTAAGTGCAATGTGATTGATAGGGAGTGTTTGCAAGCATAGAGGAAGCCTGGCTCTCACTTGCCCACTGCCCAACCCCTGCTGTGCAACTGTGGAGTAGGCAGCAACATACCACAGACCAGCACCGGTTCATGGCCTAGACCTCAACAGGCCACGGACCTGCACTGGTCCATGGCCAGATGGTTGGAGATCCCTCTCATAGCAGGTAAATTAGGGAAAATTTTTGGCCATTATTGAAATGTGCTCTTCTTCTGGAGATAGATTTTTTAAAAAAAGAGCATGTACATACAACAAGATTAATGCATAAAATAGCCAACAAAGAAAGAAAGTAGGGGGAAGAATTTTATTGAAATGTGCACTACTTCTGGAGATAGATTTTTTAAAAAAAGAACATGTACATACAACAAGATTAATGCATAAAATAGCCAAGAAAGTAGGTGGAAGAATTTAGAACCAAGCCATGATATTACGGCAATACATGGACTTGAAAGATGCTATAAATCTAACAAAATGCAATTTACCAAGGATAAAAAATAAAAGCTTGCATGAACTGAAATCCAAAACCTCCCAATGTACATATAATTATAGAGAGAAAATTGACTAAAAACAGAACATTACAAAAGAGTTTCAAGGATTTATTCTCTATTAAGCTCAATATAAGTACAATTTGATATGGCTGCCAAAGTTAGTGTGACAGCAAGCTTTATCTAGAAATAAACCTATTCTTAAGCTCAATATAAGTACAATTTGATATGGCTGCCAAAGTTAGTGTGACAGCAAGCTTTATTTAGAAATAAACCTATTCAAAACTAAATCTTACTCCTAGAGCTTACACTTTTTCCCCCCTGTATTGCCTACCTTGACTAATGAAAGTAGTATTTACTTCCTGTGGCAACAAAGAAATCCTAAGTCATATCTCTGACATAAATCTTCGTGAATCTAATAATTGTACCAATGCCTTTTAATCCTAGCTATTCTTCAAAATCTACTGTGAAATTTTTTAAAAGTACAGACTTTTGAACCTAGGGACATTGAGGTTTTGTGGGACTGGATATTTTCTTTCTTTTTTTTTTTTGAGAGGTTTTTGCTGTAGGGCACGTGCGCTCACCAGACAGACAAGCGAGAAATCACCTCCCAGGGGGGATGACCATACCGCAATCCCTTCTCCTCCATTCTCCTCTCGGGATCTTGGGCACGCATGCGCATGTGCCCAGCATGAGTTTAAGCCACTGGGTCCGGGACTTGAACCGCGGTCGACTATGTAAGAGTCCAGTGACATAGCCATTACACTAACTGCTGATCCCTAGGACTGGATATTTTAAAATCCAGAGATAGAATCATCATTATCTCTGTTAGGGAAACTGTAAACAAAAATCAGCTACAAAGGCAAAAACTTATTTAGAATGAGAAACTAACATAAGGATCTATTTGAATAAACTTTCAGCCAGAAAGCAACATTATTTCTGTACCTTCAGACTCAAACTTTCTACCAGGTACTCTCTTCATAGTCAACTGGAACTGCCTTAACTAAATACTAGACTAGGAGGATTAAACAATAGAAATTTATTTCTCTCAGTTCTGGATGCTAGGAAGTCTAAGATCAAAGTGTTGATAGAGTAAGTTTCATTCTGAGAGCTCTTCTCTTAACTTGAAGGTGGCTACCATCTTCCTGAGCACTCACATTATGTCAAGTTATTTCTGTGCTCCTGGAGTGAGAAGAGAAGGTCCTTGGTTTGTTCTTATAAGCACACTAATCCTATCAAAGATCATAACTTCATCTAAACCTACTTACCTTCTGAAAGTCCCATCTTCAAATACAGTCACATTAGGAGCTAGGGCTTCAACAGATAAATTGCATCATGGAGGGAGCATAATTCACTCCATTGCACAGTGATGCCCAAACTTCCTGGCACCAGGGACCAACCTTGTGGAAGACAATCTCTCCATGGTGATGGGAGAGGATTGGTTTGGGATGACTCAAGTACACCACATCCACCAAAAAAAAAACATTTCTGCCACTACCACATCGCAATATACAATGAAACAATCATATAAGAATCTAATACCACTGCTGATCCAACAGGAGGTGGAGCCTAAGTGCAATGTGATTGATAGGGAGTGTTTGCAAGCATAGAGGAAGCCTGGCTCTCACTTGCCCACTGCCCAACCCCTGCTGTGCAACTGTGGAGTAGGCAGCAACATACCACAGACCAGCACCGGTTCATGGCCTAGACCTCAACAGGCCACGGACCTGCACTGGTCCATGTCTAGATGGTTGGAGATCCCTCTCATAGCAGGTAAATTAGGGAAAATTTTTGGCCATTATTGAAATGTGCACTACTTCTGGAGATAGATTTTTTAAAAAAAGAACATGTACATACAACAAGATTAATGCATAAAATAGCCAAGAAAGTAGGGGGAAGAATTTAGAACCAAGCCATGATATTACGGCAATACATGGACTTGAAAGATGCTATAAATCTAACAAAATGCAATTTACCAAGGATAAAAAATAAAGCATGAACTGAACTGAAATCCAAAACCTCCCAATGTACATATAATTATAGAGAGAAAATTGACTAAAAACAGAACATTACAAAAGAGTTTCAAGGATTTATTCTCTATTAAGCTCAATATAAGTACAATTTGATATGGCTGCCAAAGTTAGTGTGACAGCAAGCTTTATTTAGAAATAAACCTATTCAAAACTAAATCTTACTCCTAGAGCTTACACTTTTTCCCCCCTGTATTGCCTGCCTTGACTAATGAAAGTAGTATTTACTTCCTGTGGCAACAAAGAAATCCTAAGTCATATCTCTGACATAAATCTTTGTGAATCTAATAATTGTACCAATGCCTTTTAATCCTAGCTATGCTTCAAAATCAACTGTGAAATTTTATAAAAGTACAGACTTTTGAACCTAGGGACATTGAGGTTTTGTGGGACTGGATATTTTCTTTCTTTTTTTTTTTTGAGAGGTTTTTGCTGTAGGAAACAGAGAGACAGAAAGTGAGAAATAACCCCCCAGGGGGGATGACCATGCCAC